AACTTGATGTATTGCAGAACTTAAAAGAAAGGGAGAGGAGTGAGGTATAATTATCAAATCTTTACACACTGGACTGTTCTAAAGAGTTTGCAGTATCTACCTTACCATTCCCAGCTCCAGACCACGACACTGACTTGGGAGTAGCAGCTCCCGTTGGTCTGCTAGAGCCAGCGATGACATCGTCATTAGCCAAAAAAGCCCTGAGCACCCCTGCAAACAAATCACTCAGTATAGCCCAGTACCTGACTATCATAAGTACCTGTCTATCTATGCCCCGAGAAGGGGGACGAAAAAAAGCCGTGGCTCCTTCACCACGCCAGAGGGCATATTTTCGTCATCCATCAGGCGTAATACACAGTTCGAGATATCCTGCTAAAAGTTTAGCAATGGGAATCTTACAAGCTGCAGGCTACAGAGAAAGTGCATTTTTGATAGCCTGGTATCTTCTCCCAATTACTCTCTGTCAGCTCGCTCTCATGATCCGTATCTCACTGAAGGTCAGCTGTGGTTGAAAACATCCAGTACGGACTCATTCATGGTAAGAGTAAAAATAATGAAGACATATCCATCCCCAAACAGCACGCCTTCAAATCTAGGGGGAAACCCATATAGGATCCCCTTCTGATTTCAGACGGCAGGACAAATGTCACAGCTGAGAGGGACAAGGAAAAGAAAAAAGGGAAAGAAAGAGAGACTGTGGGCTTTTACAGCAGCCTGTGATTGCTGTCATGTCATCATTCCCCTGGGTGTTTGCCCTTCTGCATAGGAGATCTGAAAAAGAACAGGCTCACACACTAACCAGGAGGCAAATGCCTGAAAACTCATTCTGAGCCTGAAGAATGGGAAAGGAAGCCACAGTCGTCATCTTCTGAGTCGTTTAGAAGGGCAGACATTTTTACTTAGGGAGTGGGAACACTCAAGGATTTAGCCTTGCCTATATACTGAGGTGGTTTGTACTTTTTCCACCCCCGAGTCAAGACATTTAGAAAACAAATACAAAGAACAATACAAACTGCTACACTGGCAGAGGTATCACAACACAATCAGAGCAACACATGTTCATGAGTAGGCAATGTCTTGAAAGAGTCACTCTGAATTTAGCAATCTTCATGTCAAAGCAAATAAATACTATGTAAGGAAAACACAGCATGAAAAGTCTAAAGATATCCTTAAAACACAGTTACTGATGAACTCAGCTTTCTCTGTTCTCTGAAGATGTTTTCTATCACCACAGTAATCTTTTTTCCCTGCAAGAGAACAGAGTCTCTCCCAATTCTATAAAAACTACCAACTCATGAAACCCAGAGACCACGGGCAGCATCCTGCGCTCTCCCAGGTCCACGTCCTCCTCAGCTAATCATCAGCTGTTGCTTCTTAGCCTCTGAGATCCACTAAGACCACTGTATCAGAAGGTATAAAAGAAAAGAAAGCAGCACAACTCTAGGGTGAAAATCAGCAAGTTCTAGGACCCAAAAGGAAAGGCAGAACGTAGACATTTAGAACAAATTATGTGAAGGAAATTATTTTCTAAAAAATAGGAGAAACATTAAGATTATTCAAGAGAAATTTCTGAAATTGAATACAAGGACATGAAGATTTTTTTCTTAAACCAAGAAGGACAGAAGACAAATCTACTGAGGGTCTGTAGAGAAGTTAAGTACTTTGTTTCATTACTCTTTAAGGAGAATAAATTCTTCGTCAAGGGACACTCTCACGGGAAATCAAGAAATTGCTTGCAGATAGAGAAGTCTCTAAGGAAGAGACAATTTAAGGACGTTAGCAATTCTGAAGAAAAGCTTAAAAACAAAGCAGTGGGGTTTTGGAACACCGACCTCATTTGTATCTCCTATCCCACAGCAGGTGAATCATGTTAAGATGTGAACACCCCAGAACAAACAAGTCTCATTCAAGGATTACAGTTCACGGAGTTTTATTTGAGTCAAGAGGCTGGACACTGAGACCAGTTGGAAGACAAGCAAGTATTTGAAACAGTACTACAGAGAACAAAGCAGCACAGCTATGTGAAGGCAAATAATGTATCGTTACTCCTTTGAATTTGACAAATGTCAAAGACCCAGCAGATAGACACAGCAGATCTGGGCTTCCGAAGCACAATCCACAGTTAAATATTTATTTTAAGGCTAAGATTCTGCCAAGAAATGAAAATCAAGTTTCTGACAAAAATGAGTACACATCTGTCTCTCCTAGGGAGAAAGGCCCTGGATGTCAATGTCAGGGATTTTATCAGCATGCTAATACTGTGAAGTCAAGAGACAGCAGGCAGGTGGATGAACTACATGCTCTCAGTAGACACCACTTCAGTAAGCCGAAAATACTGATCCATTCAAGGCAGTAACAACAGCTCGAGGTGTGCCCAGCACCTGCAGCCAGGCAGGCAGCAGGGCTGAAAGGAGTTCAAGAAACAAAATAGTCTTGTGAGAACAGCACATTTTTCACAGTTGCTCGAAATGACCACAAGACCATGCTCAAACAGCAGCCAAACAGTTTCATACTCACTTTCCACCAGGCCAAGAACTGAAGCCACCACAGGAGATGAGACCCTGACCACATCACCACCAAATCAGCTTCCAAAAGGCCGGGCTCCTTTTCCCAACACCTCTGCAGCTGGTACTCTTTGGTCATGGCAAAGCAACCCTTTTTCCTCTAGACACTGGACATCTACAGCTCCCAGTGAGCTTTTACATGATTTGAGTGTATATCTCTCTACTAGTTAATGGACTGAGGCACACTTCGTGGGGATCACCACACCTTTATCAGTAATTATGGAGCTGGGCTGGAATTCACACTGATGATTTAGCTGGAAAAGGTCCCATCTCAACAGTCTCAACCATTTACTCTCCACATCTAACTTGTTCTGAAATTACACCTCAGTGATCTGGCACCCTCACCCTGCCTGCAGGACCAGCCTTTTCCCATGCCAGTGGTTCAGACAACAGGAGTTTGCTCCTTATTTTCCAATGACTGCGGAGTTTTGTCACTGCCTTTTGAAGAGATGATCCAAGAGATGATCCATCCTTTTTCCTCTAGGATGATCTTACATAATGAGAAAAAATTCCCCCCGCTTAACTAATTCCTGCTTAACTAATCCTTCTGACCAAGAGACACAAAATGTAAAGCACACAAATTCCCAGTGACTCTAAGAAATCTCCTTGGCTTATCTATGCAGACTATTAGCTTCCTCAAGTTATTCCTGGCCAGCAAAACTCACTGGAGAGTGACAACTGCCCAGAACTTCCTCGATTCCTTCTCATAAGAATCACGCTTGTAGGTGATCACTTCCCTCCTTGGCCGAGGACCTGGGGGAGTTCCAGCCGTGCCAGGTTCACTCCAAGTGGCAACTCAGGGAGTAGAAGGCAAAGAAAGACTTTTAGTCTTCCTCCACGCTTAAAACGTATCGGTTAAGATTTAGCTGGTGCGTATGCAATTCTGCACTTAAGAGTGGGGAGGCAACATGGTCCATCGTCTCGTTCCATTAAAGGCAGGAAGAAGAGGGCAGTTCAGGAAGGGAACAACTGGAATTGTCACACTCTGATGTAAAGCTCACACCGGTGCCAAGGTAATGCCTTCCCGCTTCAGGCAGGCCTATCTGTCTCTGCTACGGCCCATTTTCAGCTACTGCTGTAAAGGTTTCTTTGACCTCCCCAAAATGAAGTTATAGATCATGTAGATTTGTGTAGGTGTTTTCTCGTTTTTTTTTATTCCACAGAACTAGAAGTCAGTCCCCAAAGAGATAGCACTAAAGCAGAGATTAAAGAGAAGAGAAAGAACCCATGTTGAGTGACCCTAGAGCATTCTGGAGAGGAGACGCTCTGTAAAAGGACTAAGTATCCCTCCCACCAGAGCACATTTGCAATGCACACATATTTCTGGCTACTAAGGTACCCTGCCAAACACGGCAGTAAATCCTCAACTGTTTGGCAGATCATCTCAACACAAACATTACTGAAACCAGGGAACAAACGCATCCAAAACATTATTTTTTTCTGGGATCCAACTGCTAAAGGAACACTCGATAAAAACAATTCAAAGCAGGTTGGTACTTACAGAAATGCTTCAGAGTCAAAACCTTCCCCACCCCAAAAGAAAGAAAATAGTTCATTGGAATTTCTGCGGTTCTCCAATTCCATTTATAATCTGCTTTGCAGAAACCAAAGCAGTAACTAGCCTAAGGTGCTTGCACGGGTTCTGAATACGCGCTCAAAGGATTCACTCACCAATTAACATTGATTCTCTCTGGTACTCTTTGCTGAGGTGGCAGCGCTGGGTCACACAGGACACATATCTCTCCAGAACATACCAGCACATTTCATAGTAGAAAGGATACCGGAATTTGGCGTGCACCTGCAAGCAAGATCAAGACTGTCAGTCCGCGGGGAAGGGCGAGAAGTTTGCAGCACAAGGGCCAGTCATCATTCTCATCGCGTTATCAAGAGCACAAACAGAGTGCAGGAGGGGGGAGGGGAGGGAGGGTGGGAGCCGTGTGAGATGTATGCCTTCAGCATACAAAATGAGGAGCCTGCCTGCCTGCCTGCCATGATAGCATCATTTCTTGGTTCACTAATTTGTATCCTCTTGGGCTGGCGGGAGAGGAAAGGGTTTATGTTCTTGTGAAACCACGAAACTGATGGATGGCCCCTACAGCGTTATTCACCTTCTGTATAAACATAAGGTGGTCACATACAGATGTTAGTCACTAAAACTCAAGTTAAAATAAAGGTGGTTTCGGTTTTTTGTGTTTTTTTTTTTAATTGCTTAAACACTATCACATGACTGTTATCAAAATGGCAACGTTACCTAAAATGAGTCAAGCAGGAAATACATCTTTATCAATCATGGTCTTCGCAATAATTTAGTTAAATGAATGAACACACAAATTCTTGATTGCTGGTAACCACACATTCGAAGTAAAAATCCCTTACGTGGTTTACACTTAGTATTTTTGGTAGCAAGTTAGCTTTTGCCACAAACAGAATAGAAAAGCAGGATTTTGACAAAAGATCCTGTCAAGCTGTGCACTTTACATCTCAGACCTGTTGTTCTCACACAAAAAGCTTATTCTCCAACACTACGTATTTGTGAGATTCTTTCAGATTGAAAGGAAAACAAAGTGGGTTTCTTTCTTTTCCAACACAGTTTTCTATCTATGGGAGGCCACTGTAGCAAAGAATAATCTTGGAAGCTCCTAAAATGCAAGCACATATGTGTATTTACCATGATTTGTTAGAAATGGATGCCATGCATCTCGCATGCACTTGTACTTACACTGTACACTTCTGTCTCCTGGTAGCACAGAAAATTTGCATTTTGCAGGCTCGCATGCATGCGTTGCACTGGGATCATAGGAACTGCTTTAAGACATTCTATGCATATTAACTGCTCACCTAGCCGAGAGGTGTCCACCCGCCCTTAGTGAAACCTGGGCTGCACCACAAAGGAGCGTGATCTTAGAAAGCCCATTTTTAAAAAACAAACCCAAAACACCATGCCAGGCTGCTCAAAACTCCAAAGTCTAAGCAGAACGACTAACCCAGCACCTGGAAAGTCCGATTCAATCCTGCAAAGCAGGCACTGTCGGAACATCGGCGTGGTGAGAAAAGCATCCGCTCGAGCATATCGGTGACTTACTAGAATGCCCACATTTGAAAACTGTCCCCAAGGTGGACAGTCAAAGAACTTGCCTCTGTTCCCAGGACACAGGAAATGTAAACACTTTTAGCAGTAAAAGAAAATGTAATGAAGGGAAACTACACCGTATTGTCCCACTAAGTGTATCACAGCACAGGATTTAAATACTCCACAGCAATTCCCAGAAACTGAGATCTCTTAAATTCAACACAAACGTAGCTGGCAAACCTGAACTGTGCGTTGCTACAGGTCACGCATCCAGCAATGCTGCTCTTTTTTCAGATGTTTCCCTGTGTTGTTTGTTGCAAAGTACACAGAGCAAAGGAAGAAGAGGGGAAAAAAAAGAGAAAAAAAAAGAAAGAAAAAAAAGCCCCAACCAACCAAATAACATCCCCCTAAATGTGAGAACATTTAACCCTAGGGCCTTTTTTGCATTGGAGAATATTTTTTCCTTCTATTTAGTTATTTGTCATAAAGAAGAGATCGAGTCACTTATCACTATTACGGAACACAGGGGAAATTAGCCATGCTAAAATATATGCTAATAAAGGAACTCAAATTTTTCCAAGAGAGCACTGCAGGAAACAAAATTTGCAAAGAATTGACTTACAAACAGGAAGCCGCCTTCCACCCCTCAGCCTTCAAAAGGTTTTCAGCCACATGCCTGGGAATATTAAAGACATCATTGCTCAACATTTGTTGACAGATTCTGAGCTTCACCAAATTTAGTTGTTACCAATGTTAATTCAATGTGAAAGACAAGGAAGTAATGCATGCAGTGCTCCCATTATGTATATCAATCTTTAATATTCAATTTGAGTTCCTAATTGCCTCGCTATCAATGTTCCAACCCACAGCAAATCCCTCCATGCCTCTGTAATTCACTGTTTGCCCGAGAAGGCTCCGCTTTTACAAACCTTCAGAAGAGCTACCATATGTAGCGAGAGATACTGTGCAAAGGGCGACGGTGCCTTTTGCCAGTAAAGCAAGTCTAACAGCGCTTTAAAAATCTTTCAAAATTTGCCTTGCGGAAAAGCACAGAGGAGTATGTTCCTTCTTATAGCCTTGGCCATTTATTAGTTATAATGGATGTGAATGGCATTGCGTACATGTCTGTACTTTTTCTGTTGTTCACCTATGGTCAAAAGAACTCTTACGGGGTGGGGGGGAGGAATAAAAGAAAGAAAGAAAGAAATTAAAAATGTTCTGCGATGACTTTAAAGTGTTGTATCTGATACAGACACTGCCAGAGGACTAAATCCCCCACCAGCAGGGAAATACACTGGATCATCTAATAGGCATTTCCAGCTCTAACTTCTGTGATTAATAATTTACAATCCACCGAATAAATTTTTTAATTATTCCTGTACAGTGAGAAAAATCCTCTCTGGAATATGATCCGATTCTTCAGTTCAAAGTGAAATTATTCTGGAGACTTATATCCCCCTCCAAAACCAAAATAAAACACCCTGAGCAAGTCAGGAACACATTTTCCTTAAGAAAGTATTAGTTTCTTCCACAATGTCTGTTATAACCATTGCAAACCCCACTTGTGTTTAATCGATCCAATCACAATATCAAAAAATAACTTACGATTATTTGCAGAAATAACTCAGATCTATATGCTTAAACCACTATCTCATGTGCCAGAAAACAAAACCGGTAGCAAACGCCATCATCTGTGAGTGACCACCTTACGTGTGTATTTTGAGGGCTTTTGTCCCTGTCCACGTTTGGTTCAATTTAGACGGAGTCGGGAGCAACTTTGACACATTCTTCCTCTTCAGCAACACAGAGCTGTGACCCCCCCTATGCCAAGACGACGAATCTCTGCACGACAGCCTGCTCTGCCCTTATTCAAGCTGGTCTAGCAGAGAGCTCAACAGCTTGGCCTATTTGACTGGCTGCTAATTGGCCTCTAGGAAAGCCAGACTGCAAAATGAGAGTCTCTACAAACTGTAAGGCTGGAGAATATTTGTTTACCTCAATTGCACATTAGGAGCCGCTTCCAACAATAGACATGTTTTTTATTACTCCTTCAAACTATTTTTAAATGGCTATAACCCTCTTAAAAAGTCTCCCAGGGATATGAGAAATTAAGCTAGAATAAACATGACAAGTATATAAACTAGGCAATTTTATCAGGCTGTAAATCAGCATTACTGCTTCGACCATGTATTTACTCTTGTCTTAGCTGCTAAGACAACAACAACTACACCTAGCACAAAAATGACTTCCAATATCAGCAATCAAGGATGATTAAGCATTATACAGCAGGTTTAAACAAGGCGAAACCTCCATAAAATCGCTCTGTGCCAAATACAGAGGGGAAACACACCTGTATCCCACTTTGATTTGAGCGTGGCAAATTACTTTGTCAATCACGTCATGTAATTTACCTCTGTGCTATACACAGCGGAAAGATCAATACCGATGAGAAATTCATTTGCAGCGTGCTCATGCTGGCAAATTTGTGTGAACCACACACCGTTACTGAGTCTGGACTAGCCGGCGTACGGATGGTATTATTTGAACAAAGAAATTACAAAACCTGACTGGCAAAGCAAATAAAGGAGGACACACTAGAATCCTATTTTGAAAATACTTACCCCTTCAAGATTCCTGCACAGTTTTTCTAGTTGCAGGGTGGGGGTATATGTTATTTCTAAGAAACAGTATTGATTTTCCTGCCTTTCATCAAACTTCTGTACGCCTTAGCTGCACAGCTTATATTCTGATTCTGTCTAGAAATTCCTGCTATTCTTTGAGTGTTCCCACAGCTTTGTTACTACAGGGCTGCCTAAGAGCACAGGTTTGTGAACACAGGCACAGGCTGTGCCTAACACGTCGCTAGAACACAGCAATACGCAAGCGCTCAAGTTTTTCTATCAAGGTGTGGAAATTTTGGGCTCCTGGCTTTCATTAATCTTTTTTAAAGCACTTTTTAGCATTTTCCCCCCAAAAATATTTCAGAACAGGCTTTGACAAAAAACTAAACCAAAACTTCCAAGAGTAAAGGTCTCATTTGGGACTTGAAAATGTTGCAGCATCCCTTTCCAAAAAACCGTGGCAGGGCATTTCTGAGAAGGCAGATACTCAACTCCCAGAACCTTCCCAGTGGCTCAGGGCGCCACTCAGAAGGCATTCCAGTGTAACTGGCTGGTAAGTTCCTGAAAGTTACCAAAATAGTTGACTCTTACAGGGAAATCTGCCTCCCGGTATAAAAGCTTAGGTGATCAAAGCTGCACCCAGCTTCCCGAGGAGAAGAGCCTGACACGAGGCACTACTGAGCAGTTACAAGCCAAGGCGCACGATCTCGGGTTGCTCAAGTGCCCTGGGAACAAAAAGTCAGCTTTTACACAATTTGGGGGAAAAGAGCGTTTCCTTCCCATCTTCCCCACAGACATCGATGGAAATAACCCATTTCTGGCATTGATCCTTCCTCCCAGTCCCCTCTTCTCCATTCTCCATGCAAGTTTCCTGCGCTAGCATCCTTGCCAGCAACAACTCACCCTTCTCCTCCAGCACCTGAGCACACACATCCGACACGTACTGCTGGGTCTTATTTACCGGCACTCCAAATACCCTCCTGTGCCTACAACCTTTGCCCAGCCACTGCGAGCCCCCTCCTGCTTCTACCATCGTAACTTTTTCCTGTCCAAGCCCCTTTATGCTTTCTCAAGACACCTGTCACTCTTGCCTTGGGACATCTAGTCAAAGCGAGGCTGAACTCCGCTCTGGTCTCCACTTCTTCTCTCTGCTACATCCTCTCTTCTAATTTCCTCGAATTTCAGTTTTTGTCTTCATCTCTCTTCCTCTAAGAATTCATTTTTCTGCTTAATATTCCTTCATTACAATCACTCCAGGAAACCAACTGCTTTGCAATGTGAAGATCATCGGGCCTTGTACCCCCTGCGAGGTAAGGGAGGTTTGGGGGGGAGAACACCCGTCCCCCTCGCTGAGTCGGAGACGTATTTTGAAACACGCTTCAGGCCTGTGCACTCTCACTGCAAAGAAAACCATTTGGGGTAAAGGCCCATTTGGAGCCAGAATTGCGTCCTCCTACAGAAGTGAAAGACAGGGAACTGTGCTGATGCCCAAGACACACCACTTCAAGACTTCTTAGTGAAGAATTGCAACCTCCTGCCGTTTTGTCAGCCCAAATCTCCATTACCGCCACAGCCAGCACCCGTGCCAGCCATTCACCAGCACCGTCTCAGTGCAACGCCTCCAGAAGTCAGCCATGAAAAGTCCCCACCTGAATTTGCACATACCACTGGTCCAGTTTTGCATCAGAACGCTACGACTTGCCTTGCACAGCTTATTTAATAGCCTACTAAAACCAGTGGCACTTCTTCAGACTCTGCTACTTGATTAAACTGCAAAGTATACGACAAACAGGTGTCCTGCCTGATAATCGAGGATGGAATTTTCACTCCCAACAAAGAGGCTGCACAGTAACCTCTTCCAAGCCATAATCCCTTTCTGGTCAGGGAGATGCCACAACCAGATGAACATCACAACATTCAGATTAATGTCCCACCCCAGACTCTTTGTGTTCTGAGAAAGTCTTGCATAGGATCGAGTCATTGTAGAAGAAAATCCTACAAAGTATAGGAGGCATCGTTTCAAACACAATTCTGCTCAGCTTTGCTGTGCACAGCAGAACCAGCCCAGTCCCATCAGTTGTCCAGGCTGTGGCATCCGCTCCAGGGAGACCATAACCAGGCGGTTACCAAAAATACCGGTAAAGCGTAGTATGTTTTTGTGCAAAAGGGAAGGTGTTTTTAATAAAAGTTTAACAGGCAGACAAAAGACACCAAAGGGACGTGTCTGTGGGAAGCAGGGAAAAACAGATGAGTAAATCCCACTAAAACCAGCCAACATTTCCAAGTCTCATTATGTCACATTTACCTCTGGTTTCAACGACTCTGACACAGAGTCCTGTCAGCTCCTGTTTGTCAGAAGGGAATACGAGGGCGAGACTATGACAGACCACAATCGCAAAGAAGCGTTCAGTTAAAAAGAGAATCAAGCATCCTTACCCTTGTTCTGTCTTCAATTTCATAGATGCGAAGCTGCATGGGAACATTAAAGCTATGCAGGATATTTCCACCAAACACCAGAGAATCTACCGGAGTATAAACCGCGTGTATCCACCCTAGAGAGAGAAAGCAAAGAACTGAGAATGCCTCATACTATACAGCATTATAGAGCAATTTATAAGCAAATCTTAACAACCCCATGAACCCCATTCTGCAAGGGATAAGAGACTAAACAGTGACAGGTTAAATGCTATGATTGTAGCCACACTAGTTATAGCAGGAGAACAGCATCTTATGATGTACAGTCCTACAACCCTCTGTAAATTGGGTTCCTCTATTTATTCACAGAACAGTTACAGTGTTTACTGAGAACACGCAAGCCTGTGACTCAACCACATCCATGACTAACAAGTAAACTCAGTCTGTTCAATACACTTGGCTCTCAGATGTATCTACTGGCACCTCCAGGAGGGCTGCAAATCGTGTTAGCAGAGTGGGGGGCTATGGCTGGGGAACCGGACTGAGTCATGTCAAACTTCTTTCACAGCAGCACCAGAGTACACACGTTCAGATACCAACAATTTCAATTTACTGCTAGCCCTCCTTCAGAGGTGAAAGTTTCATATCCTACTATCAACTTCCTGAAGCAACGAAAAAAATCGTTTTCACTGTAAGGTCCAAGTTAAAGTATTTAACATTTCTAGTACTGGAGCTGACGAGACTGTTCAGACCCAATCCTGCAAGAGACTGAATCCATTGCTCAGGCTCCAAAGCAAGGGAAGAATTTTCTATCACAGAGAAAATCCAGGCATAGCAATCCAGGCAGCCACACACCAGCTCTCCTGCTTCTGCATTGTTTGCCTGGTATGTCAGCAGCTGAAGGACTGGCTATGCAAGACTGTAGCCTCTGATCTCTGCAGTGAAAAAGGAATTGATCCTGCTAATGATCTGGGACCCACAGAGACCTGACACCTTTTCTTCTTCTTTTTTAATGAGAGGCATTACAATTTATAAACCAGCAGATAGCAAAGCAACATAGGGGGCAGTCAATTTTCTCCTAACTGTGCAGTACTTTCCATTAAAGCCGTGGCAGCTCTCCTTCACTTCAAGATCAGTGAGGGAACCGGGAAATGCCATTCAGCCTAAAGGGTTCTCCAGCGAGCAGCCAGCAAAGCTCGCCTTCTCGAGCCACAGCAGACACCAGAACTGGGGCTTTCACTTGAGGGCATATTGGTAGGAGAGAAACAAGAAGGAAAAGAAATCAGCCCCAGAATTTTCTCCTTGGAAACACAAGCTCATCACTCTGGATGCATTTTTCTCAATTCTGGAATCACAGAATGGTTGAGGTTGGAAGGGACCTCTGGAGGTCCAGCTCCCCTGCTTGAGCGGGACTGCCTGGAGCCAGCTGCCCAGAACTATGTCCAGATGGCTTCTCAACATCTCCTAGGACGGAGACTCCACAACCCCTCTGGCCAGCCTGCTCCACTGCTCAGTCAATTTACAGGTCTGATTTCTCATGATAAATGTGACGCATATAAAAAAAGCAGGTGGCTTATAGCTCTGGCAGCTCTCGGTATTATTGCATCTTTCCTGCTCCAGTTAGTACAATTTCAGTTACAGAGTTTCTCACAATGATCCAGCCTGTTTATTACTTCTAAATCAAGAATAATCAGCTAGAAAGGATTTTATTTTTTTCACATAATGGTAGCATGGCAACTACATACATCAACACTGTAAAAACCTCTTCATAGCTGAAATAGTTCACCACCTCATATGAAATACACCAGTTTGTACTAAAAGCAAACCACTAGGAAAATAAATGATCTTCCTTCTTGGGAAGGAAAAAAGATCCAAGGTTAAGGAAGTTGGGGCCACTGTTTCCATGAGGTAATTAAAGACTTATGTGACATAGCTCAGAGTAACGACAATGCCTGTGGCCACCACCCCTGCAAGGCACATCGCCAAGCCCAGGGAGTCCTCGGATCTCCAGCAGTTCACGTGCTCCCATACAGGGGAATCCAGCTCTCTGCCCCTCTGCCAGCGACAGGACGCAGCCCTGTCAGGAGTCACCTGCTCCTCCGAGAGATTTTTGGCCATTCAGCTGTACAGCATTTTTCAGTCGACTGCAGCCCAAAATAGTTTCGACTCGCCTGAGGAGCATACGTGCAATATCGAAACTGCAGAGGCACAAGCACCAAGAGGTGTATTCCAAGGACATAGGACGCTACAGGCAAGATCAGACAAAAAAGATGGAGAAGTGACAAGGTATAAAACTACAGGAAGATTGGCACAGATGTTACAAATTAAAAAAAAAAAATCCCCTCTTTTAATATTACCAAGGCTGTGTACAGAACAAAAACAAAGAGGCCAGAACTAGAAAAGCACAGTAGGAGGAATCAGAGATGAGCAGAGAAGAGGAAACAGTTTCCACGAGGGCAATACCTTGTACTGCTGCACAACCCTGGGTGTTTCATGACGTCATGCAAGAGAGATAACATCTCTCCCCTTAGTAATACTCCCCAAAACTCTAATATTCTTCCTCCCCGCCAAGCCCCTCCCCCCCCCCCACAC